TTTTTGAAAACCGTGGGAGGCTGAATCAGGGAGGCAGCCAGGAGTAGGGGGAACCTTGGGAGGAGAGGAAGGCTCGGTTTCTCTGTGTATAAAATGGGCATGCCATCTAGCCCTGACTGGCAGAAATTCATTGAAGTTTCCAGATTTCTACATAGAACTGAGGCCAGACCCAGAGACACCTGAGCATCAGGGGTTCCTGCCTCCTGCCCTCCAACACTGCTGCCCTTCCTCCTCGCCACCTGCTTGCCCGCTGAGGCACCAGGATGCATCTCCGAGTCCAAGTTTGACTCAAAAGCCCAAAATGGTCTTTGCTTATCATGGACGGAATCCAGATGAAATAGCCAAAAGAACTCTTTCTTCCTCCTTTCTGCATAAGTAGAAGCTGGGTTAGATTTCTCTATCCATCCATCCATCCATCCATCCATCCGCCCACCCACCATGCTTTAACCATTTCCCAGGCACCTACCCCTTGCCCAGCCTGGGCACACAAACATGATTCCTGAAACAACATTAAGGGCAACGAAGGATGACCTGTTTGGGCAAGTCATCATTTGAGACGGGAGATGAAAGTATAAAATGGGCTGGAGGAGGGAGTCTCCAGCCCGGGTTGCGGGGGAAGAGGCTTTTAGCCAGTCGGCAGGATGAGCAGGGCTGCGTGGGGAGGAGCTGGGCAGTCTGGGCGGAGGAAATCAAACCAGCAAGGGTACGGAGGTGAGAAAGGGCAGACCTGGCCCGGGACAAAAGGGAACCTTCCCCAGGACATTATGTTAAGTGAACTAAGCCACTTGTGAAAAGATAAATACTATAGGATTCCAATTCTGTGAAGCACTGAGAGTAGTCAAATTCACAGAGACTGGAAAGTAGAATGGTGGTTGCCAAGAGCTGGGAGAAGGTGGAAGAGGAAGTTGTTGTTTAATTGGTGTAGAGTTTCAGTTTTGCAAGATGAAAAGCATTCTGGAGATTGTTTGCACAACAATGTAAATGTATTTAACACCACGGAGCTGCACATTTCAGAGTGGTTTGGATGGTAAATTTTATGTTATGTGTATTTGACTACAATTTTTTTTAAAAAGTAACCATGCACACACACCAAAAAAAAGTAAGCCTTCCCCGGAGAGAATGGGGGAGGGGAGGCAAGAAATAGGAGTGGGTGGGGACATTAGGTGGTGGAGGATCCTAAAACCTTGCGAAGGCCAACAGAGCCACCTCGGATTCTTCGTAGAAAGTCGGAGGAAGGGAAAGTGGGGAGGAAGAGGGGTGTGACTGAAGTATTGAAGGCACTCGGGATACACAGACCAGGAAGATGTGATTCTGAGCATAGACCCTGCTTGTGGGGGATGGGGCTGGGATGCGTGCATCAAGGCTGGCCCTAGGGCAGAAGCAACTGAACTCCTATCTTGTATCATCTCTGTGGGTTGCTTCAAATATGTCAGGGAAGAGAGCTGCTTTTACTGAGTCACTAAGCTCCAAGACCTCAGACCTGGCAGAAGCAAACCACCGCCTCCAGACCCACACCGGTTGGCCATAACCAGCTGCTGAGGCAAAGGTTTCCAGGTAGCCTCTGCCACCTACCCTCTCCTCAAAATGGCCATACTGTGGTCTTTCCTAACATGAATTACAGTGTTGCAGACTATGAAAGCTGGGAGGTGACTTACCCACCCCACTATCCTAATCACACAGACGGGCACACTGACACCCAAACCGAAGGGATCTGCTGAGTTCACTTACAAGGCAGGCGGCTAGAACTCTTTGCGTCTCCTTGGGGGAGCTGAAGAAACTGAATTTTAATCATTGCAGAGGAAGCCTGCTGGAGCTGGGCTGGCTAATACCACTTTTAGACCTGGTATCTTTTACTTTACGAAAATGATGCATTCCATTCGATGTAACTTCAAGTGAGCTTTTTTGAATGAAACCTATGCTGCCTATAAATGCTCTCTGTAGACTCAGAACTGTACTACAGTTTTAGGGTACAGAATTCTCTAGTTCCCTAATATAATGCATTTAATCTTTGAGCCAGTCCCAGGACATGTTTACTAGGGGAAAGTGTGGATAGAATTCTGAGGCTCAGCTCTCAACACTTACTCACTAACCACGTGATCTTGGGTGACTTTCCTGACGTTCTCTCAGTCTTGGATTCTTCATCTGTAATAATTATATCTACTCACAGAGCCATGTAGAGTGCCTGATATCCAGTGGCTGCTCAACAAAGAGTGCCATTAATAATGAGGCTGATGATGATGACACTGGATAATGATGATGGTGATAGAGGTAGTGACGGTGATGTTGGTGATGCTGCTGCTGCTGGTGGTGGTGGTAGTGGTGATGGTCATGGTGGTGATGGCGACTGTGATGATGGTGGTGGTGATGATGGTGGTGATGACTGTGATGGTGGTGGTGACTGTGGTGCTGGTGGTGACAGTGGTAGTGACTGTGGTGGTGACTGTGGTGATGGTGATGACAGTGATGGTGGTGGTGACTGTGGTGACAGTGATGGTGGTGGTGGTGACTGTGGTGGTGGTGATGATGATGATGGTGGTGATGGTGGCAATGACGGTGATGGTGATGGTGGTGGTGACTGTGGTGATGGTGATGATGTGATGTGGTGGTGACTGTGGTGATGACAGTGATGGTGGTGGTGACTGTGGTGACAGTGATGGTGGTGGTGGTGACTGTGGTGATGGTGGTGATGATGATGATGGTGGTGACTGTGGTGCTGGTGGTGACTGTGGTGCTGGTGGTGACAGTGGTGGTGACTGTGGTGGTGACTGTGGTGGTGGTGATGACGGTGATGGTGGTGGTGACTGTGGTGACAGTGATGATGGTGGTGGTGGTGGTGGTAACTGTGGTGGTGGTGAAGACAGTGATGGTAGTGGTGACTGTGGTGGTGGTGAAGACAGTGATGGTGGTGACTGTGGTGATGATGGTGATGGTGGTGATGGTGATGACGGGGATGCTGGTGGTGACTGGTGGTGGTGGTGGTGACTGTGGTGGTTGTGATGATGTTGATAGTGGTGGTGGCTGTGGTGGCGGTGATGACGGTGATGGTGGTGGTGACTGTGGTGGCGGTGATGACGGTGATGGTGGTGGTGACTGTGGTGGTTGTGATGATGGTGATGGTGGTGGTGACTGTGGTGATGGTGATGACGGTGATGGTGGTGGTGACTGTGGTGGTTGTGGTGGCAATAGTGGTAGTGGCGATGGTGGTAATGGTAAGATAGTTCTTACTGAGGGGAGTCCTGAATCTCTCATCTCCCATTGGATAACACCAAGACCCAGGGTCAGGAAGAATAGATTCCGGCTTGACAACTCTTTGGTATGAGGGTCTGGGCTGTCTGCAAAGTGAAGCTGTGCCTCCCATTGTAAGTCTTAATTAAGAAGGTAAATAAGGCCGGGTGTGGAGGCTCACGCCTGTAATCCCAGCACTTTGGGAGACCAAGGTGGATGGATCACTTGAAGTCAGGAGTTTGAGACCATCCTGGCCAACATGGTGAAATCCTGTCTCTACTAAAAATACAAAAATTAGCTAGTTGTGGTGGCACACGCCTGTAGTAACAGCTACTTGAGAGGCTGATGCAGAATGGCTTGAACCTAGGAGGCGAAGGTTGCAGTAAGCTGAGATCCTGTCCCTGCACTCCAGCCTGGGAGACAGAGCGAGACTCTGCCTCAAAAAAAAAAAAAAAAAAAAAAAAGAAGAAGAAGAAGAAGAAGAAAGTAAACTAAGGGCTTGCTCCCTGAAAATAGACACGGTCTCCCTTCCCTTGAGACTCCCTGCACCCCAAGTCAATGGGAATGAATAGGCACATAGAGACAGGCTCTCCCCGAATGGGAAGTTCTGGATATCACATATCCACATGCTCCCCATACCAGAATCTTCATCCTCGACCTGCTTTCAATTTTTCCATAGAATTTAGCATCTTTGGGCCAGGCATAGTGGCCAGCACCTGTAATCCCAGCACTTTGCAAGGCTGAGGTGGGCAGCTCCCCTGAGGTCAGGCATTCGAGACTAGCCTGGCCAACATGGCAAAACCCTGTCTCTACTAAAAATACAAAAAAAATTAACCAGGTATGGTGGCAAACGCTTGTAATCCCAGCTACTCAGGAGGCTGAGGCAGGAGAATCGCTTGAACCAGAAGGTGGAGGTTGCACTGAGCCGAGATTGCTGCCATTGCACTCCAGCCTGCCTGCAAGACAAAAGCAAAACTCCACCTCAAAAAAAAAAATAAAAAAATTAGCATCTTCTAGCATACATTATAATTTACTTATGTTCTATGTTTAGTGTTAATTTTTGTCTGTCTCTACCCACCTCTCCCACTAGAAGATAAACTTCAGAGGGCTGGAGTTACTGTTTGGTTCGCTGCTGGATTCCAAACGCCTAAAATAGTGTCTGGCACGCAGTAGGTGCTCAAGAAATATTTGTTCAAGGAACAAATGCTAAAGGGAAGGGATTGATGGAGGAAAAGTTTCCTGGGTCAGGCCCAGCTTCCTGCCTTGTTACCTGGTTTCTCCTCAAACAAACAGAGGTGAGTGGGGAGTGGCCCTGAGCACCCAGCCTGCAGGCTTTCAGACTGGGCCCAGGCTGGGCTGTGGGTGTAAGGGCGCAGTGCTCAGCCTGGCAGTTGATCTCCCCGTGGCATGGCATTCAGGGGGCCTGAACCCTGGGTCTTGGCATCCCTGCTGAGCCGGAGACTGAAGGCGGAGGAGAAGACCCTGGATCTAGAGTTCGAAGTTTTGAGCGTGGGGTTTAATGAGGGGGGTAGATATGTCCTGAGACTGTCAGCTGAGAACCCCTTGCAGGCAGGCTCTGGGGCTGGGGTGCAGTTGCAAGTGAATGATGGTGATCCCCTCCATGCCTGCTCTGTTGTCACTGATGTCATTGAGCAGCAGGAGCCTGGCCAGAGCCTCACCCTCACCAGGAACAAGTTTATCTTTACTCTGCCCAAAGGTATGAAGTGGGGGTGGGGCTTAGGGGAGAGAAAGACCCTGGAACCCCTGCCTCAGCCCCACTCCCCACTCTGGGACCCCAGAGAGCCTCAGTAGAACTGGGAGGGGTGGGGCTCCAGACTGCATCCCAAAGCTCTGTCGGTGTGACCTTGGGCAAATTCTGGGCCTCTGTGACCTGAGCCTCCTTCAGTGTGGCATGGGGACGCTGATGCCCATCACACAAGGTCAGGTGAGAAGGAAATAGAAGCGCAGATGAGAAATGGCTTTGTAAACGTAAGAGTGCTGATCACACAGTGGGTTTGGGGGCCAGTCCTCGGCTGTGGACATCACACTGAGTAACGTTAGACTCAGCCAACTGAGTGTCTGGTCCTGAGCCCCACTTGACTGTGGGTATGGGGAGGGTGGACAGAAATAAGGGGGGACCCAGGGCCCAGGAAGCCTGGGCCCTGCCTTCTGGAACTTCCAGAGCAGGTGAAGGGGCAGGAACTCCAAGCAGAGAGAAGTAAAGTGAGCTGGAATGAGAAGATCTATACCTAGACTGTGAGGCCACCCCAGCAGGCTGCCTGGAGGAGGAGGGATGTGGGGGAATGGGGAAGCCAGGTTGCAGACTTTAAGTGGCCATGAATCAGGGGCAGGCTGAACTCTTCCCCAGTCTAGGAGTCTAGGGTGGTGGGAGGACCTGGGATCATCCCACAGGCTAAGCCCTCCCTTCCTCACCCCTGCCAGGTGGGCTTGGATTGGGTATCAGCAAAGGAAGGGAGCCCAGGGAGGGTTTCTCTGCATCTGCTGGGGGCCTAGGAGGGAGTCGCCCACCAGGGAAATCTTAGCCAAGACTGCTTGGCTTTCACTCAAAGGCTGGGCAGCCCAGGTTTCCCCAGGGCCCTCCCTGTCCTCCTAGTCCCCCAGCAGATGCAGAGAAACCTGAGATCATCTCTGAGCCCTGTGTTCCCTCATCCAGGTTTCTGCAAGAATGATGGGCAGCATGACGCTCAGCTGCGCGTGGAGGCACTGAGGCTGGACGAACCCTCAGGACGGACGACCCAGCGGGTGGGTGAGGCCATCTTCCCCATCTACCCGAGGCCAGACCAACCCCGCATGAACCCGGAGGCTCGGGACCACGAGGACCTGTACCGCTACTGTGGCAACCTGGCCCTGCTCCGGGCCAGTGCGGACCCCACAGCCCGCCACTGTGGAGGCCTGGCCTACAGTGTGGCCTTCCACGTGCACCGGGACCCTCAGCCCCCAACCTCAGACAGCACTCCGGGGGCTGGCCAGCCAGAACTGATGTCACCATGCCCAGAGCCCCAGCTCCCCAGGCTGCAGGTGGGTGCTTCCCGTGTCCTAGTTCAGATTTGGGCTCACTGGGCACAAGACCCAGCCTCTGTCATAAGCCAGGCTGGCCCCTGTCCCGAGCTGAGCAGAGCAGCAGAGGAGCTCCCAAGGCTGCCACATTCAGTCTGGGAAACATGCAGTCTGCAAATGGACACGAGAGTCTCAGTTTGAAGGGGCAGACAGAAAATGGGCAAAGGCCACACAAATCAGGTAGCCAGCTAAGTGGGGTTTCTTTTGCCCTGTGGGTTAGTGACCCCTGAGGCCCTTCAGTTCCCAACCTTGTTCTCACCAGATTTTGCGGAAGGCCCCAAGTGACCAGGGAACACAAATCTCCTCTGTGTGCCCATCCTCAAGCCCATGCAGCATCCACCCTGCCCAGGAGGGGCTCGGCCCCAACCCAGGACCCAGGTGAGAGGGTCTAGTCCTCATCCGAAATATAGGAGGCTTCTCCCCTGTGGCCATGCTCTGTGACCAGAGAGCGTGTCTAGTAGGCCTCACGGCCAGCGCAGACAGCAGCTGGTAGAGCGAGTAGTTGCCCATTTGACAGGTGGAGAAACAGGCCCAAGGTTTGCTTGACTCCATTTAATGTCAACAGCATTTCCTGGAGACCTCAGTGCATAATAGTGCACAGGATCCAAAACTGATCAGCCCCCTAAGCTCAGGGGGTCACCTGGCTTGAGGACAGTGGGCATAGTGAGGGCATCATCTGTGGTCCTGTAGGGCATGGCTGGCAGGAGAGTTCTGGTGAGGGAGTGTGCATGTTGGATTTTGATGCCTATGAATGGTTTCTTGGAAGAGGGGTCATTTGAGGTGAATTTCCCATTCATTCATTCATTCATTCATTCTTTAATCCATTCATTCATCCATCAAACATTTGTTAAATGCCAACTCTGCCGACTGCATGCTACGGGGGTAAGATTTAGGGACAGCAATCCTGGGCTCTGGGGAGGGTGTTCCAGGAGGAGGGACCACAATGCACTGGGTAAAGAAAAGGGGGAGGTTCAGCTGGCAGCAGAGGATGAGCTGAGGTTGGAGCCTGCAGCTGACAAGCAGAGGCGCCTGGCCCACCTGTGGAGCCTCTCTCCCTGGGGATGGGAGAAAGTGGAAGGGGTCGAGGGCACCAGAGCAGAAGAGCAGAGGTGGGTGTTCATTTCAGGAAGTAGTGGGGAACACCAGAGGGGTTTGTGCGGAAGAAAGGCCAGATCTGAGCTGTGGTTTAGGCCAAGCGACAGGGCAGCGTGTACCAGGATAATGGCAGGGATGACCAGGGATCAGCTTCTCTTGCCTAGTCACTCAGCCTGTTGACGCGGCCCACTGTGGCCTCAGTCCATTAATTCATCCGTCAGTCAATCAACACATACTTTTGACCACTTCCTGCATGCCCAGCTCTGTGCTGGATGCTGAGCTTGTAAAATGAGATGCATGTCACCTGCATTCCTAGGTGACATTCTGTTCCCTTAGACTGCAAGCTCCCTGACTTCAGGGCCTGGTATCCTACGGTTTAACACAGGACTAGGCAGGAGCTGTGAACTCAGGAGAAGCTGTCTCCTGCTCTCCAGGTCCCAGAATGCCCTGGCCACCCGAGCCACATGCCACGTGGATGGTGCTCTTCAGGCTGCAGTTCTGAATGCGTGTGAGGGAGGGGAAAGGAGACTGGTGAGATGGCTGAGTCGAACTCAGCAGCTCTAATTTCTGTTATTTAAAGCCATCATCTCCCCACCATGCTCCCTCTTAAAGTGTCAGATGTCTGCTTCTACCAAGACAAGAAAATGGCTTTTAAGGGAGAGGAAAATCACTTCCCTGGGGGAGGGGGGAGAGAGTCGGCAATCATAACCCTGGCGACAGGGCCAGGAAGCACCAGGAAGCAGACAATGGAGACGGGTCCTTCAGAGAATATGGGGGCTATTTCAGCTCTGGGGGACTCTCTCTAGCGGTTCAGGCTAAGGAAGTCAGGCACCTTTCTGGTGGTGCTACTTGGAGGCTCAAAGGCACAGCTGGAAGGACAGCAGCAAGACCAGGCTGTCAGCGAGCAATATTCACATAAAAGCTAGGGATGGATTTCTGGCTCCAGCTGCAAATGTCTAGGCTCAAGGTTACCTCTTCCAGGAAGCCTTCCCAGCTTGGATTTTCATTCCTCCCAAGTTATTCTCAGTCCTGACTTTTATCAGACATTTTAACAATTGAATCTATTTCATTCAGAATTAGGTTGTCGGCTCACGAGCTGTTCTGCAGTTTGTGTAGTGTGTGGCACTGTTTTTTCCACCAGAACTTCTGATGGTCACTGATGATGGTCACAGCGGGGCAGTGGAGCAGGGCCTGGAGAGCAGGGAGCATAGGAATGCAATGATCAAGATGATCTGGAATGAGGAGGGAGCAGAAGGCAAGGCTCGGAGTGAGACCAGGGTCAGGGCTCCGTGCAGACTTCCACGACTGGCTTTGTATCAGAATCACTTTGCTTCTCAGCCATGGCCCATGGGTCACACAGCCCTCAATGGCCATGCCGATGCTGGTCACAGCATTCCCTAGTCCTGCAGACTCGGACACTAAAACAATCAATTCCCCTGAGCAATAAAATTACGGACGGTGAACATGTTTCCTTCTGCAGTCCCCAAGCTTCCTCCTCCGTGTGGGTGGGGAGGGGCTGGCAGGAGGGAGTATGTACTTCATGAATATTTCCAGCAGCACAGTCACAGGCTCCAAGATAGAGGTCACTCCCTGAGCCCTTGATCCAAGAACGGGGGAGCTGGGAGCTTGCAGGCAGGGGCTGCAGAGGCAGTTTACCCACCTGGAGGGGTAACTAGCTCCAGGTTCCTGACAGCCACAGCAGCAGCCCTCTGGAGACGGACACGCAGGGTGCTTCCTTTCTGGGTAAAGATCCACTAGACTTATCACCCCCCTCCCCATGCTGCCTCCTGTCACTTCTTGGCAGCTTTGAGCTCCCTGAGCCTCTCCTTCCCCTGGGTAAGGAGGAGTTTATCAGACCAGAATGAGGGTGGCCTGTTCGCTGCTGGGCAGAGCACCCTGGGGTGAGGAAAGCAGGAAGGTCTTGCCCAAAGCTGGCGGAAAGGCCATCAGGTGTGACTCGGCTGGACATTTTTAGGGGAAAGCGATGCATCTTGGCGGGACTAAGGAGGACAGGGTGACCACACAGCTGTGGGCCTGGAGCAGGGCTCTCAGGAGCCACCACCCTCCTGGTACCTCACTACCCGCTCCAAGAGATCCCTGAAAGTCGACTGACAACTTCCCACAGGCAGAGCAGTTCAAGAGGGAAACTTTGGAAATTCCCAGGGGTGAAATTTCTGGAAACGTGAATTTTAAGGTCCCTTGCTTGTAGCTCTGGGAGCCATCCTGGGAGCCTCCTCACTAGACGCCTGCAGCTCTCTCCTACCCAGCTCTGAGCTCTGGGAGGAGGAGGAGGGGTGCGGTGGGCTCCCTCCCCCGCATTCACCTCTTCCCAACAATGGCAGTTTTGTTTCATAGAAACAATTTCGTTTCCCAGGAGCCTTTTAAATGACGCTTTCAAGGCTTTTTTTTTTTTTTTTTTTAATTTCTTCCGTTTAAAACACCTTTTTTTTCCCCCTGGAGGGGAGAAAAGGAGAAGAAAAGCTAATAAAGCAATCACCAAATGCCGAGCACCTGGCTCTACGCCTGTGGATTCTGACTGTGAATTTGGCACCACTGGCTGGGGGGGGCTTTCATTAAGGAGAAGAGGGGAAAGGAGAGCAGCCGCGGAGCTGTTGTGAACCGCTTGCCCAGCGTCCCCTCTGCCTCCCCGCCCCCATCCCACCCTGTCCCCCTCCGCCTGTGTGTCTCTGGTCCCAATTCCAGTTGGAGCTCCAGACCGATGCTCTCCCAGCCCCAGGCATCCTCTTGCCTTTAAGGCCCAAGCACTCCGTCCTCGTCCTCGCTTCCCCCCACACTCCCCGCCCGGTGCCCTGCTTTTAAATTCATTATGCCTTTTATTGCTCGCGATTGCGTACACTATTTCTATTGCCCTGGAGACTGGAATGGTTCAAGCAGGGAGAGACGCACGATGTGGATTTCATTAACTTTACTCTTTACTGCCCGTTCAATCCCAGGGGTGCGGCGCAGGGGTGTGAGTGGGGGCTGGCCTGGCTAGGGAACTGGGCACCTCTTCAGTGCCATCCACTCAGTGCTGGACCCTGGGGTTAGCTGACTTCCCTCGTCTTGTGAAGCCTCCCACTTCTGCCTCTCCCTCTGCCCTCCTGGGGAGAGGAATTGTCACTGGCCCATCTCACAGGTGGGCAAAGAGAGGCTCTAAAAGGCGAAGCTTGGGCTGCTAGCAACAAAGTGGTGGGAGGCGGGGAAGGTGAGAACAGGTTAGATCAGGACTGCCAGCCCTCTCCCAGGCTGATGTCACCCTCCTTGGGCACTGGGACCCCAGCTTCCCCTTCCTCCTTTGCTGCGCTTCACCAAAGGTAGAGGACTGGAGGCCGGTCAGCTCCTTCTTGCAAATGAGGCAGTTTTATGGGCTTTAGAAAAACACTCCAATTGTTCCCTCAATTACCCTGGAGCGGATTGAATATATTAATCTCTCTCTAACTCGAGTTAGAGACTCTGCTGCCGCCCCTCCCCCAGCCACCAGCGCCCCTACATAGGCACGTGCCAGAGATTGACTCCCAGCCCCCACCGTCTGGCCCTCAGCGCCCCCCAGCAGGTCAGCCCTGTCCAGGCAGTGTGTTTCTGCCGAGGCTGTGCCCACTGCCAGCACACACACACACACACACACACACACACAAACACACACACACACAGGAACACATACAGGAATACACACATACACATACACATACATACACACACATACATACACACACAGGAACACACAGGAATACACACATAAACATACACATACATACACACACACAAACACACACACACACGCACACACACACGCACAGGAACACACAGGAATACACACATACACGTACATACACACACACAGGAACACACAGGAATACACACATACACATACACATACATACATACACACACAAACACATACACATGCACACACATGCACACACACACACACACACACAGCAGACAGCTGCTTTACATTTCTCCGTCAATTTCCATTGATTTCCTCCGCTGCCACTATTTGAAAGAGCCTTTTCCGTGAGTAAACGTGATCATGGGGGCTCCCCCTTGAGTAGGGAGCGGGAGGGGACTGCAGGCAGCTCCCTCTTCTGCTCCTTTGACAACTGCCTCCAGCTTAAACACACTCTGCCCCAGGCAGCTGAGCCCGGTTAAAAGCTACCTGAGGTTTCCCTTTGTAGCTCGATTTTCTTTTATTTCAAGGGAACAAAGGCACTGTCACGGCATTCTCAGAGAGTGCTGTCACCCACGCAGGGAGGCGTGCAGACCGGCACGTGGTGGAAGGAGAGGTGGAGCAGGCAGGTGCTGGCCCCAGGGAGGGCGGGGTGGGGGGCACTTCCTGTCCCACCTCACCCCTGCACCCCGACACTGTCCCTGTCAGGGAGAGAGGCCAGGGGCTAAATACATCACAATCACCCTGCAGGCAGCCTGCCGGCTCCCTTTCCTCCTCCCAGTGCACTGAAACACTCTCCGTTGATGGGGTCCCTGAAAGAGAGCCCAGAGGTCCTGGGCAGCATGGATGAGGCTCAAAAAAGCAGTTTGGGGGAGTCCTATATTTGTGTCCTTGCCCAAGCTTCCAGATTTCCACATCATTCATATATGCTTCTGGGGTACTAACAGGGTCCATGCCGGAACTCAGCAGGGTGGGGGATGGGAGAGGTCTGGGATTCAGCCAGCTTAGGGTGAGAGGCAGATGTATGGAAGTCAGGAGGACCTGGATGCTGACTGGGCTCTGGCATTCATTAAGTGGCCTTTGACCTCCTGGTGCAGGTTATATAACTTCCCCCAGCCTCCACTTCCACATCTGTAAAATGGGAGAGAGCAATTCCTGTGCCCTTTACTGCTGGCAAGACGAAATGAGCTAGTGTACAATTAGCCTTGCCCTGCAGTAAGTGATTAAATAAAGTCCTGCTGTTCTAGTCGTGAGTTGGGATGCTGTATTGGGCAGAGGATGGGTCTGGGTCTCGGTTTCTGCACCTAGAAAACAGGGTCGCTCCTTCTTGCCCAGACAGTATCCCAAGAGAAGGGTGTTAGGAACTTGTAAGTCTCGCTATGTCTGGGCCCAGATACCAGGTTGCAGGGCGGAGAAGGCCAGCCCAGCCTGGGTGCTAGTCTGGGAAGAGGCTGCATTCGCAGATTGTTGTAACCGAACACAACAGATGGCCCTGCTGTCCTCCCTCATCTCTGCCTTTCCCCACCCCAGCCAGGGGCTGCCGCTGACTCACACCTCCTGGAGGCGTGTGTGTGTGTGTGTGTGTGTGTGTGTGTGTGTGTGTGTGTGTTAGAGACAGAGAGAGAGATGTGGGGGGAGATGGAGAGGAAGGGGGTGCCTGCCTCTGATGTCTTCCCAGCCAGACCAGCCCCAGCCCCAGTGAGCCCCTGATGGGCTCCAGGAGAGCAGGGAATGCGATGGCCTTGTCATCTCCAGAAAGTATCTTCACAGTGAAGGAAGCAGGAATGTGCAGGAAGGCCCAGGGACGATTACACCCATGGAAAGTGGACATGCCCCCAACTCCTGACCGCCCTCCACCACCCCCAACTCCATCCACACTCATGCACGCCAAGACACACAGGTACACACATACATGCACACATACATGATTGTACACAGACCTCCAGCATCCTCGACATGCAGAGACTCCCACCCCGCCCCCATCACAATGACAGATTCACACAGTCACCAACAGGCATGTCTGGGAAGTCCACATCACAGCCCCACCCCTCCCCGCCCCTCCCTGGATCTCCTGCCTCTCCCCTGGTCCATCTCTGCACAACACCCCCAAGTGCAGCACCAGATGAGAAAGAGGCTTGAGGACATGGCATATGTGATATATGAGGTGAGATTAAAACCCTGTGTGAAACCCATCTTTAATATACCTCTAACAGCCGATTAGGGTGGGGGCAGCAGGGCAGGAAGGCTGGCAGCACCCAGTGCACCCACCCTGGCCCTGGTGAGGGGTGGGGCTGTTGGGCCAGCCCAGCCAGCCCCATCCTGGGTCCTGGGCTGGTTCTGCAGAGTCCTGGAGTCAGGAACATCTGAGGCCAGCAGGTACCAGCCCCCTTCCCGGGGTAGATGGAGGAGGCAAGTGGGATGTCCTTCCTCCATCTGGACCTGACAGCCTGCCCTGGGCTCCAAAGGTCCAACCTCCTTTGAGGTTGGCATGACTCATTCATTCATTCATTCATTCACTTTCCCAAGCAGTAAACTGGGTTGCTGTATGTCCAGCCCTCAGGGAGCTGCCAGGCTGGGCAGGGAGAGGAAATAGGAGGAGTTGGGGAATCATCACTTTCCAAGCAGATTGTGGAGGAAGTGGTGGGCACGAGCTGGGTGGTCGTCAAGGACTCAGTCTGTTGAGGAAGACAGTTCTGCTGGCAGTCAGAAGGTTTTGTCTGGAACCTCGTTTCCCAGTTGCGTATGAACAGCTATGGCTTGGAGCAAGTCCCTTACCTCCCTGGGCCTCAGATTCCTCATCTGT